GCTCCTGATACACAGCAATCTGGATGCCTCGGCGAGCTGGGCGCAAGCAAGGAATGTGCATTTCAGTACAAACACATGTCAAATCACACCTCCAAGGACAAGGATGTGGGCCACAGCGGTTATCTGCTCCCAGTCCCACCAGGAAGGAAAAGGATCCTTCAAAAGCACCTAGAGAAACACCATTGCCAAAATGGTTAAAGCAAGGGGGATGTAGGAAGAGAGAAATCTCAGCATCCCCTCTGGCACTCAGCTGACCACGTACAGCATCCTGTACGTGGGATGGTGGACCTGCCAATGGAAAGGCTAAAGCAGTGCCAAGGGCCAGGACAAGCCAAAAAACTGGCTGAAAACCTTATCAGAGGACTGGGGGCCAGGGATTACTCTTAAACAGGCACAGAGAAAGCAGAGGTGTGGTGGTGGACAAAGTTCACCAAGGTCCGACTGCCAGGCTCAGCCGGGGGTAAGAAGGCAGGAGCAACCACTTTGCATTTAACGGGCAATTCTCCATCTCTGGAAGCATTTACATCATGATTGGCTGTATCTGCTCCAGCTCAACCAGGAATGCTTCCTGTAAGAACTTATTACCCCTAGGGCCTTACAATTTATTGGCTGGGTTCAGCATTATCAGTGGAGGCCCAGACCCGAAACAGGCAGGGAGCCATAAATAGCCTCTTATCTTCAAAACATTACGTACTTATGGGATGTGACTGTAAGACAGCTAGGACATACTCTTCTCCGGCACATCAGAAAGCTGCACTCCCGTCCAAGCCCTTAGCATGTACTTGCCCCCCTCCGAAACCCAAGCACAGCACAGCTGGGACAGACTCCCACTGCTTCCCACACCTCGGCGATGGAGGAATAGCTCCGGGTCCTCGACACACACACACGTGTACGTGCATATCACATGGTGGGGTGGTGGCAGATCTGCTGCGCTGGACCTCAAAATAACATGCAAGCATAGGCAGGGAAGCCCTGCATGGAGCCCACCTGTAGAACACGCATCTGCAAGGGCACAGCCCTACCAAAACCTACCAGCCAGCCCCAGACCGGGATACCCCATGTACCAGCCTGCTACAGCAATAACCCTGGAGGTCAGGTCATGCTTCTCCCCTTAGAGCTGGACTGAGGTTGACTCAGTGCTGGAGCTGACCTGGGAGTATCCAGCTGGGTCAGTGGTGGAACCGGGCTGTGGTGTTGGTGGGGCTGGACAGGACCAGCACCCTGGGTGCTGGAGCTGGGTCAGGACCCCCACATCCTCCCTTCTGGCTATGCCCCCCAGGGAAGCAGTAGGATGGCAGTGCCAGCTCCGAAGGGGACAGGCTGTTGAGCCCTCAGGCTCCCCACAGGGGTGGCCCAGCTCCACCTTGAGCTGGAGAAGACAGGTGGCAGCCTGGATCTTCTACAGACCACCTAGGTGACCAGGTTTCTTCTCTTCCCAGCACGTCACCAGCTCCTCTCCTCCTTGGAAATGCCCATGACCCCAAGGGGTGATGCCACATGTCTCTGACAGCAAGAGAATGTCACCACCAGCTTCTGCAGGGCAAAACCATCTCTTGTTACCACGGCAAGACCAGGACTCCCAGCACTTGGCGCTGTATGAGTGCAACAAAGAAGAGGCTGCCCGCTGCAAACGCAATGATACAAGACACACGGGCAGATGTTCTTCCTCCAAAGATGGAGGGGAGCTGGAGCTGGACACAGGGTTCAATAACTAGGACCAGCAGCCAGCGGCTGCCATGGCTGAGCAGGCAGAGACCCTTCCAGGCAGCGTTCGTCTACCGTCCAGTCCAAACAGAGAGAGCAGGCAGCACAATAGCTCAGCCTCCGCCGTTGCAGAGGGAGCCAATGAATAAGGGAGGCAGAGAGAGAAATGCGCTTAATATGCTGCATGGGAGGGACAGGCGGGGGAAAAGGGGGGAGGCGGCAGACAAAGAACAGGGAGATGGAGAAAAAAGACGCAGGCAGGGAGCAGGAGAAGGTGAAGCAGGGAGGACAGGGCTGGGCGTACTGGGGGGGAGGCAGTGCGGGGAGGCGCATGCATGGAGCTCCTTGCCAGCGCAGCAGAAAGGAGCTGGGAAGCAAGCGGAGGAGCGGAGCGAAAACGAGCGGGCAGCCAGCCCCTCACAAGGCCCTGCGGGATTGGCAAGCCAGGCCCAGCAAAATGAAAATCTCTTAACCACACAGAATTGTTAACTGCCCCCAAATCCTTTTGTGCTGGGGCTGCAAGCTTAGAAGAGCTTAAGCTGTTAGATGCATGAACTTCCTCCATAAATATCCCTTGTGTACACTGCCGTGAGCAGGCTTGCACTGTATTAGCCAGATGAAAAGCCCAGCGGAGAAAATGAGCAACTCGTTCCAGCGCCTTGCAGCTGCACCGAGGGGCTGTCCATTGCTCAGGACGCCCTTTTCCACTGGGACCCCTTCGCGGGGCAGGACCAGTAAGCCATGTCCCCCACAATCCCCGCCTCGTCCCGTGTGGGTGACTGAGGCGCATGAGAGCACTTCACCCCGAAAGCCAGCTTGGATTTGCTTTTGTTTTGCTTCTGGAAAGGGGCCCAGATTCCCTCCCACCCCTCGAAACATGAGAAAACCTGCCGGCCACATGTACAAGTGAGTCCCCCAAACCAGGTGGCTTGTACGCTGCTTCTGCGGGGACCGGGGACAAGGAGATGACGGGAAGTGGGCAGGCATGCAGGGATGCATCCCGGAGGTCCTTCTCGAGTTCAGTTGGCGAGGAGAGCCCTTTTCTCTGCCCAGCTGAGCTGGGGTGACTAGCCCCTTCCCCAGTCCTCTGTAGGGCTCACTGGGGGGGCCAGGAGAGGATGGGGATGCTACAGCTGTCCTGCCAACTCTGTGGCTGGCTCTCCTCCCACTCCCCACTCTTCTTCTGGGGGCTGCTGGGGTAAAACAAAGGCTGTGTCCCAGTCTGGCACAACCTTGCTGTCCCATCCAGCCCCAACTGCACAGCCCCGTGCAGGAAGAAGAAGGGGAAGGGGAAAGGGAAGGGGAAGGCAGCCCTGGAGCCAGCTGCCCCATAGAGACGGCGGGCTGCCGGCCACCGCATGATTAATGATGGTGGGGAGCGTGGGGCCGGGCGCACGCCAGCACCGGCTGGAGAAACAGCTGCCGAGGTACCGGACCTCCCAAAATCCTGATACTCCACAGACAAAGAGAAGACCTGGCCTCTCCCTCCTGCTCGCTCCCTCCACCTTGGCCCCCCACTCCTGCCCGCTCTGCTTCCCCTCCCAGCCCTGCCAGGCCAGGCTGCAGGGACAGGGCTCTGCATAAGGAGTCCTGGGAGCCCCGGGGCATGTGAAGGGACCACTCCTTGGCTGGGCTGGCAGTGGGACCGGGGAGCCCCAAGAAACCATAGCTGCATCAGAGCAAAGCGCTATGCAGGGATGGGTCCGCTCGGGAAAAAAATAAAAGCTGAGATGGAAAAGCTGACATGAATCATTTTGGCTTTCTGGTGTTGCTATGAATGCTTCACTTGGGTGTCGTAAAACACCCATCCTCCCTTCGAGGCTGGGATTAGCCAGGCTCCCTTTCCATACTGTGTTGCAGCAGTATTTCCTTGCTGTCCCCATCCCCAGCACCATCCCTGCTACAGCTGGAGGACACTTGATCACCCCATGCTTGGTGGGAAGAGACATTCAGTGGCCCAGTGAGGAGCAGCTCAAAGTACAGATATTAAATGGCACCCGCAGCACATCAGAACCTGTAGCTTGACGTGTGAGCAGCCCAGCCACCAGCAGGAGATGTGGCGCCCTCTCCAAGGGGACCATCCAACCTGCAGTCCCAACCACGCATGGCCAGAGACTGTCCATCCCCCTTTCCAATGTGTTCATCTCCCCACTACCAGCACCTTCCCCATGCTTGCTTGGTGCTACCTGGCCACCCCTTCCCACAGCAAGAAGAGAGGAGACACAGCTCCCTCCTTGCGCTCTGCAATGCCCACCGACATATCTATAATTGATCTCAGAGAAACCCCAGCTCTCCTCGCAGTGTGCCAATGCTACCAAAACTGTAATGGGATTTTGAAGTTCAGCCAGGATAGTGGGGAGAAGAGTCCATTTGCCAAACACCACGGTTTGCTCTGTGCATGGTGCAGCCACAGGTGCCCATTAAACATGCAGCTCTCGGGTCCCCACCTCTCTCCCAATAATCCCAGCAGCTCCTTTCTCAACCTCCCCAAGCCCATGAGTGACTGGAGAGGAGCACAGAGATTGATTTGGCCACAGTGCTTTCAGGGAGGCTGGTGCAGAGCCTCTCGCTTGCCCAGGACCACGCGGGCCCCATGGTGCTCAGCTGAGCTGAGCTGAGCAGGCACTACCAGAGTCTGCTTTGAACATCTACGGGGGAAGAACATCATCTACAGGGCAGAAGACCTCTGGCTGCTGAGGGAGGTGCCCAGACTGGAGAGATGAGCCTGGCCCTGAACAGCCTATGACCATGTCCCACCTGGGGCCATTTGCACTTCACCAGGAAAGTGCTGCAGACAACTTGCTCCCTCCCACCACATCACCTTTGGGTGCCTGCACTCCCACTCCCCTCACCCCAGAAGCATTTCAGCCCACACCAAGGCACAGGGTGCAAACAGAAGTGAAAACAGCCCCAATATTTTGGGAGCTGACTGCAGATCGGTGGCACACCCCACGGCTACACACAAGTGCATCCCTCCAAGACCTGGAGAGCATGGAGGGCACCAGCAATAGGCCAGCACCCCCGGACCCAGTGGCTCTGAGGACCCAGAGGTAACACAGAGCCTCTGCAATGGATGGATGAGCCTGGGGCAGGAACTGAGGAGCTGGAGGAGGAGTCAGCATCCACATATATGCTGCTCTTCCATGACCCCGCGTGCTCCTCTCCCACCCCTGCCCAAGGAGGTCACTCCCAGGTGGCTCATGCAGATTCCAGCTGCAAATCCCAACTGCCACCACCAGCGCAGCCCACCGGCAACGAGGCGAGCGCGCAGAGCGAGACCGAAGGCAAGCAGTTACCTCTGCAGATGGTCCCGTTTTCCACTGACTCATAGCCCGCCCGGCACATGCAGCGGCCGATGGGTACCAGCCACTCGCCATCCCCGTTGCAGTACAGCTTGATCGGCACGTCTACCTCCTCTGCGTTGGTGATGCACGTCCCCCGGGCTGCCACCAGTGAGGTGCTCTCTGCCCCTGAGAGGGTTTCTTGGAAGACAGCCCCATTCTGGATCACGCGGGGACACTTGCGGTAGAAGACACGGACAGCAATCAAGGACATGCAGCCTCCATAGTCCTGGAAGGCCAGGTAGAAACCATTCTTGGAGACAGGCCCAAAACTGCGCACCTCGGTGTTAATCTTCATCACCCGTCCACCTAGGTCCACCTGTGAGAAGCTCTCGTCAGCAGCAATTGTGTCCACCTTCATCCAAGGATTCTCCATCCAGTTAGGGAAAGTCTTGGTGGCTGAGTCAAAGTCCGACTCAAAATAGTAGAGGTTAAAAGTCTCCTTACAGGAGCCTGGGACATTAGGGATGCTGCTGCAGTCCCGGACAGAAAATTTCATCTCCACATGGATGCGGTGTGCTCCTCGCCTCCGGATGTACTTCGTCCGGAGCCAGTTGTTTTGGCTGGATTCAAAGACGTTGCACACCTGGTAGGTGCGAATCGTGTTCATGTTTTCATCATACCCGCTCACCTCTTCCCACTGCGGACACGACACAGAAAGTCAAGAGGCTGCACCAAACTGACGTTCCCCAACCACCTCACCTCTTCCCAACCCCACTGCATGACAAGCGGGCAGGCTCAGCCAGTACCAGCTGTCCCCCACCAGGCCCACCTCACCACGCAGGCAGCCCCATCGGTGCCAAGCACCCTGCCCTGGCACAGCTCCAGCACCACCCTGCAAGCACCCCATACCTATGCGCCTCTGTCCTGCTCTGGCAGGGTTTGACCCACGCTGCATGCCGGGCAGGCTCTGCACTTTGGGGACAAGGTGGCCCAAGCCCTCAGCAGAGCTCAGGGCCATCTCGCTGCCAGCAGCACCGTGCTCCATGCCCAGATTTACGGTAAAGCATCTCTGCTGGGTGGCAGGGCATGGTAAGGCCAGGCACCTCCTCTGCAGGCAGTAATGTCTTTAGCAGGGGCTCCTGCCCGTGGGCCGCACTATACAGCAGAGCCTCCCGGCAAAGTAACACGATGCCTTTAGCAGATGTATTCCCGCCGGTGCTGCTACGGTTACAGACGTGGCAGACAGGACCCGCTTTCTCAGGAGCATGTAACATGGCCATAAAACCTCGCCGGCTGCAGCCCGAGCACCAGTGCAGGCGGCTGGCTGTGCAACGGGCCAGTAGCCAGTGACGTCTCCCCAGAGACAGGAGGGAAGGTTTATGGGAGGCTGGCTGACCCTGCGGTGTACCCAGAAAGGCAGATGCTGGGCTAGGTCCCGCTGGTAGCCCTCATCCCTGCCCCTTCAAGGGCCAACATGCTTTGGGGTCCCTCCTGCAGGTTTGTACAGGTCCCAGCCCCAGCTATCCTAAACTGGATCTATGGGATGTCCTGTGAGCTATGGCACGACAATAACATCCTTCTCAGCAAGACAGCTCGGAGCTGACATATTTCCCCATGGGAAGCTCAGCCCAGCTCCCCCCAGCCGACTAACAGCTGACTCTGACAGCTCTGGAGCAGTTTCTGCAGAGCTCAGGGCTGCTGTGACACTGCCTGGTCCTGTCCAGCTCCCTGCCATTTCCCCAGGCTGTTTTTTCCCAAATCCTTCAGTGCTTGCTGTTGTCTCCATCCTTTGCAGGATGGGGAGACTTCAGGGTGGAAGGTGATGTACCAGGCAAGGGCAGAGCTGCACTCTGTAACAGCCAACACTCCTCTGCAGTAAGCACAGATGGGGAAGGGTCCTTGTGGGAAAAGCACCTTTCACCCAGCTCATTAGAGCATCTCCCCCAGCCCAGACCTTTCTGGAGGGCAAAGCATCTCCCTGTGCTGCCCCCTCCCCACCCACAGCACCCTTGTGATGCTGATGGTAGGGACCAGGGTCCAGCTAGTGTGTGACAGTCCCAGCCAGCTGGAACGGCTTCTCATGAACTCATTCATAAGCCCGCTCAAGTGGAAGCCAAGCTGTTTCCCACGGACGTGAAACCCTGAGCACAAGCCTGCCCTGGATGCAGGATCACGACACCCAGGGCAGGGAGGCAGCACAGCCCAGATCTAGCACCAGTGCCAGGACTGAGCTGTGCAGGGAAAAACCTGCAGGAGCAGAGCACCCCCAGCCCCTCAGCCTGCAAATGGCCTCCCAAGGGCACCCAGGACTGCAGAGGGAGGCTCATGAGATGGGAGACAGATTGCTCCTCGCACATCAAGACTAACAGTCCAACAGAAGGCTGTCAAGGAAGATCCCCAAACAGCTCCAACCACTTCTGACTGGCAGTGGCTGCAAATCTGCTGCCATCGCTGGGGGAGGAGGAAAGCATCCTCACAAAATGCAGGGGGAGCATTTGCTTTATCTTCCAGAAATAAATTTGGCATGGTAGTGGAAAATTGCAGGATCTCCCCGTTTTTTAGGGCACTAGTTGGGAGTGGGGGTGAAGGAATCAAGGACAAGGCACAGGGAAGCAATTCTTTCCCCTGCCCTGCCTCTGACATGGCTCTCCCTCGCCTGGACCACTCCCGACACCCACTCCGAAACAGCGTGTCAGCCACCAGCACCCAAAGATGCCCAGCACTGCCCCATCCCCATCCACACCTGCACAGCCCCTGGGGAGGGCTCAGGACATGAGCCTGAAGAGCTCAGCCCTGGCCAGACAGGAGCAGCACGTGGTGGAAGGAAAGCCTCTACAGCTTGGGGATGAACAGTAAACAGCGGACGCAGGGCATGGGGACACCCACAAGTGACATGGGAGCTCCACAGCCAGGGAAAAAGCAACCGTTTGGGCTTTTGGATCTCTAATAATCACCAAAGAGGCAATGAACAGGTGGAGCACCCGGCAGCTTTTGTCTTCCAGGTGATGCTGGCTGCACCCAACCTTACCAGTCACCCATGGGTAAGATGCCCTGCCTTGTCCTGCCAGTGGGCACGAGGCCGCACTGGGAGAAGCCGCGATGGCACTGCAGTATCGGCACCCGTGACGTGCACACCGCAGGGCACGATGCGTGCCACGTCCCCCCAGGGGCCTGCCCCTAGGTGGGGACGGGAGGCGATCCCACCAGCAACGCCGGGGCTGCGCTGCACTTTCCAGACAGGCATCTCCCTCCTGACAGGGATGGGGGACCTGGGAGCACCCCGAGGGCCAGGCTTAGGACCCCCAGCATCCTCCCGCATCCCTGCAGCAGCAAGCAGGGGGCTCCCCGAGCTCCCTTTTCTCAGCTGGGAGAGAAAGTCACCCTCGTGCACCAGCTCCTACGGTTCCTCGACGCTTAATTAGAAGCCTCTCCCTTTCTCCTCGCTCTCTAATTAACATGCCGGGAGCTCAAAAGAAGAAGGCAGCACAATAATACGGGGAGACGGCTTCCAGCAGACCTAGGCCTCATTACCGTAGGGCTGGGGAGCTGGGAGCAAGGCGTGCTTTACATATGGAAACACGACAAACAAGAAAGGCTGGGCGAGGAGAGAAAAAGACTTGACCTCTGCTCCTGCCTATTGTGTGCCCGTCATCCCCCTTCGGCGGCCAGGCCAGCGCTGGCGAGGCGGCCGGGCTCACGGGCGGGCGTGGGGCTTTATCATGGTGATGGGGGACCAGTGCCGGCAGCGCCTGCGCCGCAGCACGACAGGGCAGCCAGGCTGCTCGGGAGCTGGGTTTAATCTCCCTGATGGAGGCTTTTCTTGGCCGTTTCTTTTCTTTTGCCAAATCGGCTCGGGGAGGGGGCTTGCTGTCAGCCTCGAGGTGAGGTCCACAGAAACGTCTTCATCCAGCCCCTGCGGAGGGTGGCTGGAGGGCAGGATGGAGCCTGAGTCGCCACCTCCGCGCACGGGGATGGGAAGCATCTCCGGGCTTTGGCCGAGCTGGATTGGGCCACCCAAGTGCACGGGAGCAGGTCTGGGGCTGTCACACATCGGGGCTCCATGCTGCTGCCAGCCACCTCAGCCAGAGGTGAGCAGGATGCCCTGAAGCACCTCAATGCCCCATGCAAACCCCGTGGGACATGGAGGTGGCTGGGGCCACTCTGGATTTGTCATGAGCAGGAGGGTGCAGAGATGCACTGCCTTGCCCAAGCTCTTCTTTAAAGGAGCTTGTTCTGGGTGGTCTTGGGATGTGGCTCAGGGAACTCTTGGCACTGGTAAAGCAGGGAGACAGTCACTGCTGAGCCCGCAAACGTCCCTCCATGAGATGCCAGGGATGCTGGACAGTCATTTCAGGACTTGATCAAACAGCTGCTGTGAGTACAACCTCACAGGCCAATGCCCTCATCCTTTTCCGCTACAAGTGACAGGCAATGGAATAACGAGTGAGACACTGGGGACAAATGACGGTGGCCTTGGCATTTCATTTCTCCTCCTCCCTGATGTTTACGTGGCTGCAGGTCAGCTTTACAGAGAGTATGATTCCCCCAACACCATGTTGGCCTGATGCTGTAGGGTGAGAATTACACTCCTCCAGCACTGGGGTATTTTTTGGAAGTGTCACCTCCTAGGAAATTACTGGAAACTTCAACTGTCATCCTCTTTTGTGCTCTTCCCACTAGACCTTTTCATGTGGCCAAGGCACTTTGCTTCAGTGGCTGACTTTTGTTGAACCAACCCACCTATGTTCACACGCAGCAGGAGACCCCAGACCAGGCTCTGGGCCCCCATAAAGCAACAGGATAACTTACCCCTGATGGAGGATGCACCGTCCAGCCCAGCTCTGCCGTTGCCGTTGTGGAGTCCATCAGCGTCTCTGCAGGAGGAAGGTGAAACAAGGAGTCAGTGGCCATCTGGTGAATGACCTGAGGCTGGCGAAGGGGAAAGAGGTGGAGAGGAGCCAGGCCAGGACTGCAGCCATCGAGCCCAGCCTGCGCCGATCCCTCTGGACATCTCTCAGCTGGGGAGGAGCCAGCTATAGGTCCCTCCACCCATCCGCTTCCCCGTCCATTGCCCATTGCTCCCTGGCCCCCTTATCTCCTGCAGTGCATGGGGGCACGTGCTTTTCCACCCACCAGCCCAGCTGGACTTTCCTCCTCAAAATCCATATTCAGGGTACCACAGCCCCGGAGCAGCTCTGCTGCTGCACATGAGGAGCCCAGACTGAGCAGGTTTCCTCCATCACCTTCCAGTTTCTTTCGCAAAAGCAGGATGTTTTTTTCTCAGCAGTTTGCATGGTAGGCAGAATCCTTGATGATGCGGTAGCACACAGGAAGGAACAGCACTTCTAGGACTTAAAAGTACTAAAAAATTAAACCAACATTAAAGCTGGTTTTCCAGGCAATTTGGGTTGAAATAGGTCAGGCGATGCTACCACTGACCAGCACAGAGGAGAAGTCTCCATAAGCCACACAGGCAGCAATGTCTCCTCATCCTTTCTGCAGCTCATCATGCTTCCAGCACTGAAGTTTTTTCATCCCAAATAGCTATAGGTTGGCCTCACTATACTGATGGCATGAAAAAGGATGCTCATGTTATGGCACCCCAATACTTGGGCTAATGTGTGTAGGAGTTCCCCCTCATCCAGCATGGGTACGGGCCAGATGGCCCTGTCAGAAATACATTGGACAGACACTTCCATGAGTGGTTTCCACAATCCAGGTAACTGTCCATCCTCCAGGTCTGCGGTCGCATGCTCGTTGCAACGCAGGGATTTTTCTGCACCGTGCCCAGTGCTGATGTTTTAAGAAAATAGGACAATATTCCGGTGTTTAGGAAATCGGGTTTAGAAATAATGCCCAAAGGTTTCAGCACACAGAGGCTGGACATGGGAAAAGCATAATGCTTGTGGGACAGACCATCCAGGCCAGCATACGGCCAGTGATTCTGTGGCTGAGACCAAGGTGATGCCCACAGAAGAAATTATGTCCCTCTGCTCTGTAGGGAGAATGTGAATCTGCCCCTGATTTCAGCATGGGCACTCAGGATGCCAACTGCATTTGCAGGGATGTTGGAAAGCATCCATCACACACACAGGCAAGATATAAACATGAAATTCGGCTTGCAGCTTCACTTTCCTTGCCCTCCCAGTTAATGTAGGACAGGCAGGGAAACAGTCCAGCTTTAGGGTTCTGCAGCTCTCAAGAAAAAGCATCTTACATACAAGGTGTACACCCACTCCACATCAGCTCACTGAGAGCGATCACCCAGCAGAACGCCAGTATAGTCAAGATCTCCAGTCACCATCTTATAACCCAATAAATGGTGCCAGTTCCCATGGCCACAACAGGGATGGAGAGTTACTGGCTGTAACCGTGTCCTGTTGCTGCTCCTCACCACCAAAAAACCAAGCAGCATCCTGCCATGAATCCCCCAACAGCATCTTCACCTTCTCCACTCTCACTACGTTGAACAAAAACAAAGGAAGAAAAGCTCAGCTTTGAGCATACCCATCATTTAAGAGACAAGCCTGGATGCAGAAATGACTGCTGTTCAGCCCGCTCAACAGCGCACATGAACTCCCCTTTTCCCATCGGCAAGCCAAATAATTCCTCAGCACAGATATGCTCCTTGCACCAACTTCTGGCAGTAAATCATTTTCAGACTGTGGGTTGTTCGTTACTCCTGTTTAGAGCCAGCGGTTTCCAGTTCACAGGAAACCAGGATTTCAAAATTTGGTTTTATTCCAAGAGTAAAAAGCAAAAATAGTTCTTTTCAAGTTTTCCCACTAGGAAGAGTTCTGGAAAACGGCTAGTCCAGAAATGTTGTCATTCAGATTTATGAAATTTCTTTTTAAACTGAATATTTGTTTACATAGTTCCATAATAGTGTTTATTTTATCAGAGTATCTGGCTTTTTCATTAAAACACCAGTGGCACTTTGATCTGAAAAGAAAACAACATTTTTCACCCAGTGCTAGCTAGAAGCTGCATTACTTTGAAAAAAACCTTAAATTTGTTACTTTATCTTAACTATCAATGACAGTGGTGCATAGTAAGTATATTAATAGCAGTGACTATAACGAAAAGGAGATATACTCTAAACCAGTATAAATAATTCCCCAAATAAAAATAATATTTTGAAGTATTTTGCATTTTTAAAAGCCTTTTATTTAATGAAAACTCAGTGCAACGGAAATGTTGTGCCCGGTGCATTGCTGCAGAGCACGCTGCCCACAGCCCTCGCCACTGCCCCTTATCCTCAGCTGAAGAATTGCACATCTCCTTGGAGCTAAGCATCTACTACCCCAGCTAGCCCAAGGACATCTAGTTTTGACACAAGACAAGGAGGAGTAGAAATTTGCAGGTTTTAAGCAGGTTTTTCCAATGGTCAATTATCTTCTCATAAAAAAAGATCTTCCATTAATTTCAGTCTGAATTTACACTGTGCGGCTGCCAGCTATTATATTTTCTTTTACTTGTACAAAGGCTCTGCTATCCAAAACCTCCTTTCCCTTTTGTGGTGTTTAAGGGTGGCAAATGAATCATCTCCAAAACAACTAAATTAGCTGAGCTTCCTTATTCTTCCACCTAAACCAGGTTCCTTTCTTTGAGGCTCCTGTTTATCAACCTTCTTTGTGTAGGGTGGACTGTGGTTCCCATTGCACACAGCTGTAACATCCCAATGTGCCCCTTTTTGCACAGCTTTTCTACCAAATTGCTGCCCTGGCTAAAGTCCATTTGGAGATGGGTTGGCATGTTAGCACTTAGCAGTAGTTGCCTGAATTACAGAAAATTGTGAATAACTGGTCCCCGTGAATCAGAGTGAACCTGGTTAGCCGCACTGACTGCAAAAGTGGATGTGAAGCCAGGATGGGTTTCAAAGGTGGTCGTGGGTTTGCTCCATCCTCTACTGACGGCTGACTTCAGAACACCTTATTGACCAAATAACAGCCTGCCACAGAGTTATCTTGCCCATATACTTGGCCAGGAGCACCACTCACCCTCCACCTGAGGTCGAGGAGGCCACATGGTCCTCCAGGGAAGATCACTGTCTCATCCCTGAGAAGTTTCTTATTACCAGACAAAAGAAGCGCATTAATTCATTTTTCAAGCAAACAAAATCAGGAGTGATGTCCAATGAACTAACATATCCCTCATCTGCAGGGGCTTCTGACTGCCTCTCTGCCAGGCTCAGACCTGCTCAGATCTCCACAGCAAGAGGCAGCGGTGGGCAGACTGCGGTGGGAGGAAGGCCCCATGAAGACGCAGCCAAGCCCCGCTCTGATGTCCCATACCGAAAGTGCTGGCACAGAGTCCGAACTAGCAACCAATAAACCAGGAAGGTTGAAAAAAGCAAGACAAGGCCATACCACCCACCTCAGCCGTGCAAAAGGCAGACCGAGATTCCCCTAGGGCCTATTCCTCCTTCAGCTGGATGGGGTTTTATTGCTGCAGGGGGACTGCAGAAGCTCATCAGAGGAGTTTGCAAGATGATTGATTGTGGTCTGCAAGGATCTACACCGGGACAAAGTCACAGCAAACAGAGCTCCTTAGCCTGTGAGGGAAACTGCAGCTACAGCTTTGCCTGAGAGCTGAACCCGGTCATACAGAGCTTTGCTACAAGTGCAAGCCCCGCACAAGGCGTGAGCAGCCCCAAGGAATGGGAGCCCCCCGTCCTCCAGAGGCAGGTCCTCCACGCGCAGCAGTCCCACCAGGGCTGCCCTCAGCACGCTCAGCCCCGCGCACCTTCTGCACCCACGGTGACCCATGCTGGGCCGCCACGGCCGCATCTCACCCAGCAAGTCTCCTGATCCGACCCGCGGGCTGCCCCACGCTCCTACCCTGCTCCGGGCACCCAACAGGACCAACTCCTGCACCGGGGACAACAAAGATGGACCCATTTCTGGGTGGGCAACTCCAAGCCCAACTGTTATTGCCCTGCCAGCCATGGAGAGGAGAAGGTGCCTGCTTCAATGAGCAAAGTCAGCAGCTTCACTCGCTGTCACAGCCGACGCTTTCACAGTGCCATCCTGCCGGTTTGGGAGCGCCAAGTAACAGGGTGAGGGGCTGGTGCCTCGGCGGCCCCATAAAGACCCAACATCCAGGACAGAGCCACCCCCGGCAATGACGGTGACGACACGGAGCAAAGCCGCGCGGGAGTGGCAGGGGTGGGTGTCTGGCCCCTGGCCCATCTCTGGTGGCTGGCGATAGCTGCAGCTCAGTGAAATGCTCTCTCTGGAGCAGCATTTTCTCAATATTGTTGTTTGTGCTCTTCCCTCCCGCGTGTTTATCTGCAGATTCACATGCTACCCACGGCATTATAAATAAATCTGCAGCTGCTTGAAACCAGCAGACACAACTCTGGCCTGCTTCCCACCAGAAACCGCGCTGCTCCCCACGGGACGGTTAGGAGATAAGTGCCTGTCCTTTTCACTTTGAAGATGCTTTCAATAAGCAACTTTCTGCCAGCACTGGGGCCCGTCACCGGCACTGCTGCTTGCTACGAGGGCATGCCAGGGCTCCAGCTCAAGCACTTTGCATCTAAAGATGCGTCATCACCACCATACCACCACCTCCAGATGCTCAACAGCTACGCTAAGACACCATCAAGCCGGTGATCTGCTATGCCAATGACCTGGGTGGGGGGATCCTACACTTCTGCGTGGTTTTCTTGCTGCTCAGCCACAAGTGAGATGAGTGTGGGGATCTCAGCTGCACCAGCTTTTTCCATCTGGCCAGGTCGGGACTGAGACTGGTGGGCAGACCTGGGAGGGGAGGACAAGACTGGGATCACGTTGGGTGCTGGCAGTGGGATGGCCAGGACTGGCAATAGAGAGTGACAGGACCAAGGGACAGTGGCAGAGAGG